CGAGAAAAGTGTTGTGTTTTGCTTATGAATGCAGTGTTGAGTGGAGTCTCTCATAGTCTCATTGAGTGTGACATACAGTGAATGAATGGATATAACAGTAATCATGAAAACATAAATAAATGAATAAATGTGTAATCAATGGCAATATTTTGTGATTATATATTGCTTTATGTTATATAATGTCATTGAATGTAAGGCCTGTGCGAGGGTCTGGTCTGAAGCGAAGTGTGTCCACACCGGGCACTCAGGCCTTCAACTGGTCTCACCATCACATCCATAGCCATCACCACAACCGACAACACATGCAATCCGTAAGCATTGGCTGTCACTATGTCTTTGATTATGTCTGCAGATTATGTCTGCAATAAAGACTTCAATTCATGGCTCATATCGCATACAGTCTTATCATTAGAGCCATACATATGTCTCATAAGGATTACGGCTTACAATGGATTGCTTTGTGTTCAATGGCTTAATGTTATGATCAGTAATCACACGAAACACTTTGAACTGATGGTCACCCTTTCCCCCCTTTCCTCCCATTCCCCTCAACCCTTAGCCTTAAGCCCCGGTGCGCTGCATATGTTTATCCCAAACCTCTTATCACTTGTTTTTGATATTTATTTTTAATCTCTTTATTAAAGACTTTTGATTGCATTTCGTTTGAAATGTTTGAAAGCTTTTTGAAATTAAATTTCACGTATGAATGCATTGAATGCTTGAAATGCTGTGAATAATACCCATTAGCTTACAGTGAATGTTGTTTTCAAATAAACACATATTTTTTGTTTTTATTTATTGTATGGAAAGGCATATCGTATTCAGAAATAGTTGTCATATTTTATATGCAATACTCTCTCCGGTGACTAAGTCTTAGGCCATCGGATCAGTCATACCATTAGCCCTCACACGAGACATACGATTGGCAGCAATGCATGAATTGTTGCAAAATCTTAAGACTTTCCTCAGGAGTCACCACTTGTTTCGATACAAACTAATGAAAGCCTCGTTTCAGAGCGACCCGCAGCCCATCGACAGCCGCGTCCACTCACTGGCCATACACTCGCCCAACGACTCGCACGACGACAGTACCATCAGTACCACCAATAGCTATGCGGCGCTCACGCCCACCATCATCCGCAACGCGTCCATCGACCTCCAGAACTGGTCACCGATCAATACGTTTCGGTTAGATGTGGGCGACTATAACGCCAAATACGACGACATCCAAGACGTGCAGCGCGTGGCGCCCGACGACTTGGCCTCACAGATGACGCTCATTGATCTGTCCATTTTCGTGGCCATTCAGCCCCAGGAGCTCAGCTCCGGCCAGTGGAACGGCACCCGAAAGTACCAGAACTCACCCAATGTGGTCGCATTCACGCAACGATTCAATCGAGTGAGTCGTTAGACTGTGAAAGAGTTTTTTCATCGCAAAAGTCTTATCGCTTTTGAGGGCTTTCCCATTGTTTTTGTTGTCGCTTTTATCTCTCATTTTTATCAATTAGTTTTCCTATTGTTTTGCGAACTTTTATTTTATTCACTTTTCATTTGACTTTTTTAGTTTCGCTTTGTTTTGTACGCAAAATGTCTATTCAAATGACAGGCAGTAATGAACTCTTTTTGTGTCATTGAATTGTTAGGTAAGCTTTTGGGTGATCCAGGAGATCCTGTCGCATAAGACAGCAAAGCACAGGGCAGAGGTGGCAGGTCACTTTCTCAAAGTGGCCAAACGTTTGCTCGATCTAAACAACTTGCACTCAGCCTTCGCTATCAAGTCGGCGCTGTCGTCCGCACCCATACATCGCCTGTCAAAGACATGGGAAGTAAGTCATCAACACTTCTCTCATTTCATTGCCATTTCACTGACTCATGCATTGATGATTCAAAGCCATTGTTTGTCTCATATCTAGAAATAAATATTTATAATTTATTAAATGTTTTGTTTTGTGTTGTGATAACGCTTTATAGCTATTATCGCGAAAAGATAAGCAAACATTCAAACTGTTGGACGATTTGTTTGCTGATACGGATAACTTCGAGCGATTGCGGGACCACTTGAGCTCAACGAAGACCCCATGCATTCCATACCTGGGACTCTATTTGCATGACATTGTGTACGTGGATGTGGCACACCCTATGTCCAGAGGCCGACCCACACAGCACTGGAAGAATAAAATGGATTCAATACTTAGGATAATCGCTGAGTTTCAGCGCTCTGTTTATGGTATGAAT